GTCTTATATCATACATTCGAACATCTGCGTATTATTTTCCAGTGGGATAAAGTTTCGGTTTTTTAAATATCATTTTTAGAATACTTTTTTGAAAAACATCTAAATTATAGATATGTGAGAAACATGCAGCTCCCCATGCTAATACTATATGTGAGATGAGGCTCAATCAGTGCATGGTATAATGTTCGAAGATATTTTTCTGTCAATATATTCCCAAGGTATTTAATTTTGTAGGATACAAATCTAACTTTCTTTAAAATATAATTGACATGGATGTCCCATCGTAAGTGAGGATCCAAGACTACTCCAAGGTATTTTATGTTGGGCACTCTATTAATTTGCACTTTTTGATCATTAATATTGAAGGAGAAATTTGTGTAATTTGGCAGATGTCTAGCGTAAGATCCAAATGGTAAAAAATGTGTTTTAGAGTAGTTAATGCTTAATTTTCTACTGTTAAACCACCGAATAATTTTGATAAAATCATTTTCAATTACATTTTTCAGATCAGACCAGTCAGTGCCTTCATATAATATTGCAGTATCATCTGCAAAACTAGTTATTTTGCCAACACAATTAATTTGGAAAATATCATTTAAATATATATTGAATAACAGCGGACCTAAGACAGTTCCTTGTGGGACACCACACTTAATATACATTTCTTTTCTAAATGATCCTGATATCTGCACAGATTGTGGGCGATTTGACAAATAACTTTCGATCAGTGAGTACGCGTTTCCTCTGAAACCAATTCTCTCCAATGCTTCTAATAATAATTTGTGATTAACTGTGTCGAAAGCTTTCTTTAAATCAACAAAAATGCAGATTGAAGGGATTCTGTTATCAATATTTTGATGTATTTGATTTACAATTTTAGTTATTGCGTCCGATGTAGCCTTCCCTTCTGTAAATTCATATTGATTTTCACTTAAAATTTTGAATTTTGTGAGGTATCGAATCATTCTAGTAGATAAAACTTTTTCAAAAACCTTTGCTACACTGGATATTATTGATATTGGTCTATAGTTGTTAACATCTGTTTTTGTTCCTGATTTATGTATCGGTATTATATTACCTTTTTTTAAAATTGAGGGATATATGCCAGATTCAAAGCATTTGTTGATTAGGTAAGTGAGTGGTTCTGTTATGTCCTCGGCTATAATTTTCAAATGCTCGCTTTTAATACCATCGAACCCAGGACTTTTCCGTTTTTTTAAGGATATAACAGTGGTGTATACTTCACATTGCTCGACTTTATAAAAAATAAATGAGTTCAAAGTTCTTTTTGGAGGCTGAATATTTTGTACATTTGCTTGTATATTACTTGCTAAATTTTCGCCTATGTCAGTAAAGAATTGTACAAGTTCATCGCATATCTGTTGAGTATTTTTTAATACTGTTCCCGATGTTGTATTTAACTCAGTGACACACTCTTTAACTTTTGTTTTCCCAGTAATCTCATCAATAGTTGTCCAAAGCCGCTTAGGATCATTTAAGTTATTATTCAATTTATTTAGGTAATGTTTTCGTTTGGTTTGCCTTACAAGCTCTATAAATTTATTTTTATATTGGTTGTAGCAGTCGGTATTCTCTGTAGTTGGCGTTAGTTTCATTACATTATATAGTCTTTCTTTTTCTATTGCCGATGTTATTAATCCTTTGGTAATCCAGGCATTTTTGCTTTTCTCTTTGTGACTAATTATTACTTTATTGGTACTAATATCTATTAGGTTTTTTATTTTCTCTATGAACAGTTCCGTTGCTTTGTCTATATTATTTATAGAGTATAATTGTTCCCAGGATTCTTGTTTGACATTTGATATTAGTTTTGAATTGTCGACAAAAAATTTGTAACTTTCCTGGTTGGTATTAACGGTAGGGATGTTAGAATGTTTTTCATTTGAAGATATCAGTAAAATAGTGGAGAAGTGGTCAGTAATATCGCTTTCTAGGATTATTGGTATACAAGTAATTTTGTTGGATAGATCTTTCACAAAGCAGTGATCTATACATGTGCCACTGATGGACCTTGTAGGTAGGTTTATATAGGACAGAAATCCGTTACTTGATAGGATATTCAAGTATTCATTTGTGATGGGATCATCGTCCAAAATATTTATATTGACATCTCCCAAGAAAATATGTTGCTTTAAATGAACTTTATTTTGATATTCTTTAAAAACTCGTGGGGTTTTGAACATGGCGAGCGATAAATTGCAGATACCTCAATTTTGTTATGGTTAGTTTGGATCATTATGTTTAAAATTTTGATTCCATCGGTGAAAGTGAATGTACCATGATTATATTGCAGTTTATTTCTTACAAAAACTATCACCCCATCGTTTTGGTTATAAGTGCCAAAGTTATACAGCGTGTCATATCCCTGCTGATTGAAGCAAGAAATATCAACCACTTGCCACGTTTCAGTTAAAACTATTAGATCAAAATTGTACCATATTTGGTCGAGTAGTATTTTTAAGTAATCAATGTTGTGTTTTATACTCCTTATGTTCATATTAAAAATTCGAAATTTTGCATCAGAATTTTGTGTACATAAATTAAGTTCATCGACGTTTTGTGCTATATTTGTTGCAATACTTAGAATTTGGAAATCATTAATGTATTTATTTACTGACATTTTTAGGTCCTCTTTAGAGATAGGAGTAGTGAAAGATGAACTTGAATTTTAAAAAAGTATCCTTAAGTTTTGTTGTTCCTGATAATATTTGTACGATGGACAGTTTTTGTCGGTAGGTGAGTGGTTAATATTATAATTTTTTTATATCTTTCATTTCCATATCTACAGTTGCAGCATTCTATTGATACATGCTTACAATTTTCTCCTTCGTGACCGTTGCCACAGTTGGCACATATCTTCTCATTCCTGCAATTCTTTTCTGTATGATTAAAACGGTAGCATTTTCTACACTGAGAAATGCCGTTATTTTGATATACTGTCAAACATTGCCATCCCAGAAGTATTCTTCTATTATTGTCTTCGAAGATTTTTTTGAATAGCTTTCCAGAAGTTTCCGCGTAGATAGTGTAATTGTTTCTTGATGGAAAATATTTTATAAACTTTACTTGTATGTCTCCACTCTGAATCATATAATTCTGATGTATAAGATCTTCTTCAATTTGCTTTTCATTCGGTTTCTCACTACTTTTATAATTTATTATTTTAATTTTTGGATTTAACATTTTTGGCTCAGTAACTTGGTATTTTTCATTCAATTTATTTTGAAGTTCATCTTTCAGTTTATTATGATTTGGTTCATCAATTTTTATATCAATTCCGCCATTCCTTGAGTTTCTCACACTTTCTATTTGAATGTTCAGAGATAAAAAGATTTATTCTCTTACTCAATTCTCTTCTCGTATTATCGCAAGATTGTTTTTCTTTTGGAACAATTGTGATGCATTTCAGTGATTGCCTTTTAGTAATAGGTATCGTTTGTTTTAAGATTTGTGCGTATGAATTTTCTTTTACTAACTGGTTTTTCTCAACTTCGTCGAGTCTCATATTAATTCTATTTAATACTGATGCTATGGCATCCTTCTCAGTAATACTTGCGGTTACTGACAGTTGCTGCTCTTTTAGTTTTAAATTTTCGTTATTGAGCTGACGAATTATTTCCTCCTTTTCTGCTAGTGTTTTCTTCAGGGATCGATTCTCTTCTAATATCTTTTTTAAATTAGTCGAATCAGGTCGATTTTCTTCATCTGTGATGCAGTTTTTTTCATTCTCGGGCTTTTCTTGTTGTTCTTCTTCTTCCTTCTTCTTTTTGCGGGTCATGACACTCTGTATAGTAATTTCTTATGTAGTATGAATCCGGAAGAACAAACTGTCAACTTGTCAATTTTACGACACTCCGAGGTTATATAAATATGGCCGAAAACGACTGAAAACTGTAAAATCCGCTGCACCAATGTATCCAGACCCGTACTTTATCCTTATAAATGGAAACTCTTCGCCAAAAGGTTATTTCATGGACTGTGTACCAACCAAATTCTTGACAAGGTAGGACGAGATCGTTTGCTTGTTTACTACTACTACTACAATATAGTGTGGATGTTTGTTCAGTTCCTGAACAAAGAAAAATATTCAACTTTATGGATGCATGGATATCAAGAAAACCTGAATGGTTTTGTGGGAATATCAATCTAAGGTGCCGTAATGGTTCTGATGAACGGCAAGTAAATGAATGAAGGTTTGGAAACGAGCAATATCTTTTGGTAGAGCCTGTCATCAAGTAGGTGCTTAATGGCTATCTGCAAGAGGTTTATAGGAAAAAAGACCCAGTATCACATATCAATTGAAGAAAATAATATAAGCATGAATAAAAAATCAACAATAGAAATTAAAATATTCAATAAGCTGGTGATGTTTCAATGACAAGTTGTCATCTCATACTTTGACAGTATTTTGTTTTCAACATTTCATAGCTATTGGTTGCTGAAATTTGTTGATTGGAACTTGAAGCTCATTCGCTGTATCTGACGGTCTGTTACCCTATAGGTGGAGAATAACGGACTATTGTTGGTGAAATTGGGCCTTAGTGACTGTTCGCAAGAATATGATGAAATATAGTCATGTTGCCAAAGAATAAGTTGGAGAAATATTTTTTTCTGGATATAACACTTCCGTCACTGAGTATATCTCAATTTCGAAATTTTTCGCGATTACAATACTTCCTCGCCAGTTTTGGCGTAGGAAGTAAAAATGAACGCGCGTGCTTCTCTATCGTACTGAAGAGGATATCAGCTACAATGTATTGCTTCCCGCCTTTCGGCATCAGTCGCGGTGTACAAAAAACGTTGTCAAAAGCAAAGAAAACGATTTTTTTCAATTTTCTTAAAAAACGTTTTGACAAATTTGCACTGAGATACGGCTCGACATCTCTTGATTCGTGCGGCATCCAATAAACAAGATTACGAATAAAGACAGTGCGTTTATTCTATCAGAGTTAATTCTGTCCCTTTCCCAGGATGACTTCATGGGCTCGGCGGTTTTGAACTTAACAACGCTGGACCTTTCACGGACGACAGACATCTCATTGACCTTGCTGGATCCAGCCAGACCCGACGCATCCTTAGGAGATATCCTCATGACTGTCACCTTGTTTCCTAAAACTCAAGAGGACAAAGAGCAGGTCAGTTTTGCCTTTATTAACATTACGAGGTTTTGTTATATGGAGAATCGTTTGCTTCCGACAATCATTGCTGATGAATGAAAAAAGATACAGAAACCTTACGGGAAATGGATTATAGCTATTTAAAAAATGCAGTACGTTGTAGATCTCAACGTTAAAGTCCATGGGCTCAAAGTTTTTTCACGGTTAGTCTCAGAGATACAGGGGATACTAGCCGCAATTCTACACAGGCTTGAAATGGGTAATAGGGGGGGGGGGGTCAGAACAAGTCAAAAAGTTCTTATGACCCATGGTCCAAAAGTCAATAGATTTTTGTCTAAATGGCTTTATAGTTTAGAACTTTAAGTGCTTTATATCGACCACAATCACCACAATCTTACTAATTTTTATAATCGAATCTAAAACGTTTTTAAATTGGGTAACTAACAAATAAATGGCATTAAGTTTTTCTAAGTTAAGCCAAAATTTGTAGTCAGTAAGTAAGTTTCATTAACTTAAATATTTAAAACACACATGACAACAGCGCGTCAGTTTTTCATCACTCTTATCGAACCGGCAATCGATCGCAAACGGTATCAGTGGTCAGTATGTTGTTTTGTTTTTGTTCGCGTACGTCGTCGTGTTTATTACAATGTTATCGAGTAAAGAGACATGTTGTTAGTTTACGGTGAAGCTCGTCAGAATTCAAATCTTGCAGCTCAAATTTATTCTAGCGACAGATGAATCTACTTCTACGCGAGACGGGATATTAAATTTCCATAATACTCATGCGTGGACCCAAGAAAATCCTCATATCATTCGTGAAGGTCATTTCCAACAACGTTTTAAAATAAATATTTGGGCGGGTATTCTTGACGATCCGGTAATTGGCCCTTTCGAGTTACCCCCAAAGTTGTCAGGAGGATACCAAAGCTTTCTAGCCAATAACCTACCAGAACTTTTGGAACAGACCTTAGATAACATGCCATTACAACGGAGACAGAATTTGTGGTTTTTTCATGACAGGACACCACCACCACACATTTTTAGAGGCGTCATTCAGTATTTGAATGAACATTATCCAAAACGCTGGATCGGTCGAAATGCTCCCGATCCTCAAAAATGGCCAGCAAGATCACCCGACCTCAATCCTATGGATTTCTGGTATTGGGGATAACTTAAAGGGATGGCTTATGGGGCTGGTCCAATAACAACTGAAGCACAACAATTTTTAATGCGGTTGAAATAATAAATGGACAGGTTCGACGACCTAGCGCATTGATTCCCAAAGTGGTCTATATCGACCCCTAGGGGTCTATGACAACCTGCACGGGGTCTACGTCAGCGAAAAAAAATTTGGGGGTCCATGAAATGAATATGGGGGTCCACGATAGTGGATCTCAACACATACACTGATAGTACCTATTTACTTACATCATACTATCTTATAATATCAAAACATATACATTATTTATAAAAGTACCTATGAAGTAAAAAATGCATTATATATGTTTATATACGTAAAATTGTGTAAGTTGTAGGATGTTGGTATTCGGTTTGTGGTCGCAATAGATTTTGAACTTGTAAAAACCTGAGGGTCGCAGTCTCAGAGCTTCGCTACCTTGCACTGACTTGTTCAATTCGTCACTCTATAAATACGAATGTAGGACGAATACGTTTATTCGTTTCCTGAATCTTGAAAAGGAAAGTGCTAAGAAAATATTTTAAAAAATATAAACAGATAGTATATCACACAAATTATAGTGAGTCAGTGTTATTTTGTTTGAGAGTGCTGGAGAAAAGTAAGTACATTATTTTTTATTAAATTTTAGTTTTGTACTCGTAGTTAGCAAAGATAGATAAATTACGCCAATCATGACTTTAGTTATTAGTAGTTAAATATTCAATCATGCCAAATTACACGAGTACTCCTCAATAGTTTCTTTTTGAAAGTTTTAGCAATCGGTAATATAATTACAGTGCAATCTCCGTAATTCGAGCTAATTGTTGCAAGAAGATGTTCGAATTATGGAATGTTTTCGGAAAAATCAAAAAATATTTTTGATATACAGCTGCTGGATTTTCTGTCTTATTTAAAGAATTTAATTTTGCCCACAGATGACTGATGCCATGTCCGAATCTAAAAAGAAATGTAGACAGTACAACAGTGTTGATTATTTGAAATTTGGCTTAATTCCATCATTGCCGGACAAACAATCGCCTATGTGCCTTTTATGCAACAAAGTTTTGTGCAATGACGCTATGAAACCATCTAAACTGCAAGATCATCTGAGAAGATGCCACCCTGATAAAACAAAGAAAGATTTGAAATACTTTCAAACACTCAAAGATAAATTTCAGAAGAGACCTACACTGGACAGAATGTTCGCTTCGACGTCACAAAGAAATGATGATGGTTTGCGGGCGTCTTACAATATCTCGTTACTTATAGCAAAATCCGGAAAACCGCATACTATCGGACAGAAGTTAATTTTGCCAGCCGTTGAAAAGGTTTTAAAAACTGTTTTACACAAACCTGCATCTGATATCATTAAAGGAATTCCCTTAAGCAACAATACTGTTGAAAGACGTATTGATGAAATGAGTTCTGATATTGAAAGCTTCTTATGCAATTATTTGCAAACGACCCATTTCTCTATACAACTGGACGAGCCAACTTTACCTGATAATGCAGCATTATTATTGGCATATGTTCGTTTTATTATGAATCAAGAAATCTACAAAGAACTGCTCTTCGCAAGAACTTTGATAACCGACACTAAAGGTGAATCAATATTTCATGTTTTGAAGGATTACTTCATTGAAAAAGCAATTCCTTTATCAAATGTGTCAGGGGTGTTAGCAATACATTGCATCAACCATCGACGACATTTAGTTGCTAAAAATTTAGGTGTTAGATTGCATGAATCACTTTATTTAGTCATTGATGCAGTAAACCGAATCCGAAGCAACGCGTTGAATACACGGTTATTTGCTCAGTTGTGTGAAGAAAATGACGAACACTTTCATCAATTACTCCTTCACACTGAAGTACGCTGGCTGTCGAAAGGCTTATGTTTGACAAGATTTTTTGCACTTTTTGAGACTATTTTAGAATTTCTGGATACTAAAGATAAAATTTTAAAAGAAAATTTAATGAAGAGGAAAACAGACATCGCCTATTTAACAGATTTGTTTGCACAATTTAATATGGTTAATTTGCAATTACAAGGCGACAGTTTAAATTTGATTAAAACAAAGTCCATCTTATCAGCGTTTCTTGCCAGAGTTAAACTAATGAAGCAAAATATTGGACGGGGCGAATTTTCTCAGTTCCCCAATTTGTCACAGACAAGCTACCAGGAAGACGACGTTTCAACTTACGTTCAACATTTAAATGCCTTCTATTCAGATTTTGAATCTAGGTTTGAGGATATTTTGACTATGGTAATACCACCGTGGATAATTAATCCATATGGTGACATAGAAGAAACGAATGTCATAATACAAGAGGAACTGACTGAACTAAGTACAAACGAAGAACTTAAGGTTCAGTTTAAAAACGGATATCAGCAATTCTGGCTGCAAAACAACATACCCGTATTATGGAATATAGCAAGGAAATTTTTTTTTTAATCATTAGCCGAGGAGATTTAAGATTAACCCTCACAAAATTGACGCCAAATGTTGATAATTTATTATTAAAGCATCAGGTTCATCCTTCTCACTAAAAATATTGACTTGTTGCTTATGTTATTTTATTTATAGTTTATTTTATGTTTATTGGTGTCTGACCAATAAATGCCTGCATTGGGAATAAGTGCCCGCATTGATTTTTGTAAAGAACCCCCTTTATAGAAAATATTTTTTTTAAAATTATTCTGAAAATTCGTTAATTTTTTGCCTATTTTTAGATAACTTAAACGTATAAGAAGCGGAATTTAATCAAACTAACAGTGAAATTATTGTAGAACATACGTTTATGTTATAATTAATAAGCGAACTCGCTTATTGTACTATTTAAGTAAAAAACTTTTTTTTATTGTTTTTCATTTTTTTTTTATTTCATCCCTATTTTTTTTTCAATGCGGGCACTTATTCCCAATGCGGGCACTTATTGGTCAGACACCTGTTTATTATTTAATGTTACGTATATTTTATATAACAGATACAAAATTTTATTTTGAGTAGTTTTAATTTAAATTCAATTAATAAATGTATAAATTAACATGTGTTTTTACTTTATGTTTTTAACACTAAACTTCACTACAGTTAGAAATTTACAGGAAATCAATATCAGGTAAGTAGGGGGTCTACCCAATACGGAAAAACATGGCAAGGGGTCTACGACACAAAACAGTTTGGGGAACTCTGGTTTAGTCTCTTTCTTCCTGCTTTCTTCGATACATACATAATAGACCAGAAGCTCGCGATTTATGCACCTCTCCATCACCTTACTTATAACAGAAAGCAGCGCCACAGGTCTGTAGTAGCCTTAGATCCCTTTTTTGGGATGCGTTGGACATGAGCAAATTTCCAGTTTTCTGGAAAGGTGCATTCGTAAGATACCTGGAAGAGACGCGAGAGAACTTAAGCAAGCTTTGCTGTACACCCCTTCAATACAACGGCAGGAATCAAGTCCAGACCAGAAGCTTTGTTGACGTCTAGGGACAAGAGCATCCGTCTCACGGTCTTATGCCTGAATTTTACTTAATAATAATAATAATAATAATAATAATAATAATAATAAAATGTCTTTATTAGGCACATTATATAAACTACAACATAATGTGACCTCTACGTAGGCGAAGTCTAGCGCTTGGCTACTCTACTTAACCTACCCAAATAATAAATTGAAATATTTAATCAAAGGAAACTTTGACAAGCAGCAAAAGACGCTTCAAAACAATGAGCTTGATAGCTTCCTGACATACATAATATATACACACATATATTACGTAAAAATAAAATAAAATGTAAGAATTAAAAACTAACTTTTCCACAATTACTACAATGACAAATAAATCTGTTTCACATGCTTACGAAATCTGTTTACTGGCCAATCCTTTATATTGTCATCTAATTCGTTATAAACCAGGATAGCATTGTAAGTGTATGAACTACGAAATAAAGTTGTTTTATACATAGGGATCTCTAATCTTTTTTTGTGTCTGAAATCAATGTCTGAATTATTTCGTCTGAAAACAAATTTCTCATAAAAATACAAGGGGGATCGAGAAGATATGATCTTATGTGTAAACACTGCTACATGGTACTTGCAAGCATTTTCTATACACATCCAACCAAGCTGAAATCTTTTTAAGGAAACATGATCACACTTCTTGAGATTAAATACAAATCGACAACAAGTATTTTGGAGTTTTTGGAGTTTTGCTTTTGTGATAGAATCAAGACAATGATAGAACACAGTGCTACAGTAAAATAAGCTTGGAAATATAATAGCCTCACATAACTTTTTTCTAACTTTAAAATTCAAAATAGAGCGATTGACATAAAAACACTTCAACGTTGCATAACATTTTTTTAAGGTAGACGAAACATGCTCCTTAAACCGTAAAGTATAATCAATAATCAACCCTAAATTTTTTGTAGTATTTACGACAGCTAGACGCTCCTTGTCAATTTTTACATCAAGAGAATACAATATAGTGTTACGTTTGACAGCAGGACAAAAAAGCATCACTGAGCACTTATCCTTATTGAGCTTAAGATTGTTACCATTTGAGTATCCTACTATTGCCTCCAAATCATCATTAAGCTCATTGATTGAAGTATGCAAAGTGTTACTATTAAAGCTCTTATATATCTGTGTATCATCGACATCGACAAGTCTATAGTATAAATTAAGTACAACAAGGGCCCTAAAACTGAACCCTGAGGGACACCTGATGTTATATCAATCGGACTAGATATAGTGCTGTCTATCTCTACTACTTGTTTACGATTTGAAAGATATGTTATAAAAAACATTAGAGGTATGTCTGAAAAACCAAAAAACTTCAATTTAGCACATAAAAGCTCATGACCTATTTTATCGGACGCCTTAGAATAATCTAATGATACAAGTGCTGCCTAGTGTAGGAAACCCTTTAAATCGACGGCACTCTGGCGTTAGGGAAACGTCCATGGTGGAGAATATAAAACCGCAAAACACGGATCTGTCTACCTAGCGCTGAGGGATACCTCAAAATTGTATGAAGTATGAAGAAAATTGTATTACATTTTTTATTGGGACTTTTTGATTTCTTGAAATTTTAAATATTTAGCTTAATCATTTTGTTATTATCTTGTTTTTGCAACAAAACAATCACAGAACGAAAGAGTCACTCCTTAAGGTTAGTTCAATTCAAAAATATACTAAGTGACATATAAATCCGAACACCCAGTTTAAATGGTTTTATTTTAATAAAATTTTGTATAAGTACTTAATGAAGCATAATAAGTAAATGATAAAAATTTCAAAATGATTGCACTGCTTTAAAGCCCTTTGACCTTTAATAATGTGTGGATGCACCCTGATGTGCTACGCATTCTCCAACGCGCCTAGGCATGCTTCTGATCAGGTGGTCAATGTCCTCCTGTGGTATCTCATTCCAGGCAACCACCAACACCTCTCGAAGTGCTTCTAGAGTCTGAGGAGGACGTTGCAAATTGAGCAATCTCCTACCCATCATATCCCACACGTGCTCAATTGGGGATAAGTCGGGAGATCTTGGTGGCCATGGTAACAATGTGACATCATTATGTTGAAAGAAGTCTATTGAGACTCTTGAAACATGTGGTCGGGCATTATCTTGTTGGAAAGTTGGATCTGCCAGGGTGTCAAGATAGGGTAAAAGATGGGGTTCTAGAACTTCGTGGATATAACGCTGCGCGTTCATGTTACCTCTGATGAAGATTGAAGGTGACCTGGAACCATAAGCTATAGCACCCCAAACCATAACTCCAACAGTGTGACGAACTTGTCCTTCAACAAAAAACTGTGGATTCCTCCTTTCACCACGTCGCCTTCTAACCCTGGCACGACCATCGTGCATGCCTAAACAAAATCGAGTCTCGTCACTAAAGACAATACTGTTCCATTCCTGATCCCCGAGTTAAAGGGAGGACGCAGTGTGGCCGGTATGAAAACAAGCCAAAACTTCTCATTCGTCGGTAAACACTTCGCATGCCAATAGGTCTTCCGTGTTCTGCAAACCATTCATTTGCAAAGGACCTAGTAGTGGAGAAACGGTCCCTTAAGGCCAATAATCTTAGGCGGCGATCTTCACGGTCTGTTGTTCTACGGCGGCGTCCAGTGCCCCGTGCTCTTTGCGTACGGCCTTCTCGAAGCCATGCCTGACAACACCTAACCACAGTGTCTACACTTCTTTGCACTCTAACTGCAGTTGCCCGAAAAGAAAGTCCAGCTTCCCGAAGTCCCACTATACGGCCCCTATCAAACTCACTAAGTTGACGAAATCCTACAGGTCTCCGTACTCTGAAAATTTTTTCACTTGTTATTTACGGTAAGATAAATACATTCACCAACTTTTATTAAAATAAAACCATTTAATCTGGGTGTTCGGATTTATATGTCACTTAGTATAGCAATTTTAAAAAATGTCATATGACAACTTGAGTCTTCAATTTTGTCACTCATCGATATGGCAAATTTTGAAATACTACTTGATAATCAGATGTTATTTTACCGTAATGGATACTCGTGCAAAAGACAGTCTAGGCGATAAATTTTCGGCGATTTCATGAATCATTGTTTATTTTTTATTTAACCTTCTGTAAGATTTCGTGTAATATACATAAATCAATAAGAGATACGCAACATTAGTCCCAAATAATAGGTAAACCAATTAAAACCCGACCTTAAAATTCCAATACTTCCAATTCGTCATACCAATTCCAGTGAAAGATAACCAAACAACCTCAAATACGAATGTGTCGACGTAAAAGTAGTTCGATTGAACAGCAGTATACTGTAGAAAACCATCGGAAACGCTGGTCGTTTCGTTTTACCAGCAGAAATAAGTGAAAAAAGTATAAACAAAAAGGGGAACAGTTTCATGTTGATTTAGTGGGTGTTTGTTTATGATATGGTGTATGGTGTGACGTGATGTGCAACGATATGGATATCAGCAAAAATGGCTGAAACTAAACTTATACAGTGTATGAATCAGTGGTGTGTTGCATACGAACAGGTTCAAGGTTGCTGTAGATATAATTACAGGTTTTATATATAGAAAGCCGCCGGAATATGCTGCTTAATAACTTCCTTATTATGTTTCTGATAGTTTGCGATTGTCGTTTATTCGGTTTACGAATACACATTTGATTTTATTAATCGTGGATATACAAACATATACCATTATTTTATTATTAGAAGGAGACCCGGGTATAGTGAACAGCGTTCTGCTGTTATCATAGAATTGATGAAAATATGCGATTTTTTCAAATCGTCAACAGTAATCTGTATAACTTGTATAGCTATGAAGTTATGTAGATATCAAAAAATAGAGATGCAGATCATCCGCTTTGCCCACGATCAAATTGATATAGTATGTACCATAAATTTTACAGACTATTCTTTGAGTGATTTTAAAACCCGTAACTGGTCAGGTTGAGTCTATCAGACTCCGGCAGATATTTCTTTCGCTATAATTACTTTTTGTATCAAGTAACAACAACGTACGCCTATTTAACTTTAGTTTGGATGTGCGAGTCCCAGTGCCGGATGCTCTGCTGTTAGATTTTCGTCCGCCGGCGCGTATGACATCACGCGGAGAGTGATTATCGTTTGGGTTGATATGGATAACGTGCATATTTTCACCTACAGGCCAAACGGCTGGACGGATTTTCACATATGAAGTGTCGTTGGATTGCGACTAACGCAATGTACATTAAAATTTTATACAAAACAAAATGGCGGATGTAGATAAAAGATTTCAACCCTGTAATTCCTATCTCACAGGCTTACAGCTTAAACGGCTTTCTAGCTCCACAATAGAGCGTGCATCGTCATTTTACTGTAAAAACAAGATTTTTCTACACACATATAGGGTCAACTGGGGTAATTGTAAACGCTTTTGACAGGTTTGTTTACATTTGCCCAAATGTCTTATTTTCTCAGAACCAAAAAGTAAGGGATAAAATTGGATAGGAAAGCATAATTCTGTCATATTTTCATTCTTTTGTTCCAAAGAAATAAGATTTCTTGAAAATTTGTTATTTGTTTATTTTGAAGATCAAAAAGAAACGTTTTGTTTACTTTTGCCCGGTGTTTTAGGGGTAAATGTATACACTTTGTTTTTAAACTATATCTTTATGTATACTTTTACTAAAGAAAATGTAAACACAATGAGTACTGGATGTCTGATAATAATCTCAAGTGGTTTTAAGGAATGTTTATATTTACCCCAAGTTATAAAGTTATAAATAAAAACTGATTTCTCAATTGCTCCGGAGGAACTTTATTTCACAAACATTATAAATATAAACTGGCGTATTACCAATGCGTCATAAATTGGATTAGAGGTAACGATTCTAAAAGAGGCACAACCAAAACTAGGAACTTAATTTTCCTTAAACTTATGTTAACAATCAAATTGCTGAATAGAAAAAAAATATGAATAAACGGGTAATATTGCCCTAACTACAAATTTACGAAAAGTAAAACCAAATTATGTTTAAACTTAAAAGGAAATAATGATCTTGATTCACTGTTCAATAACAGGCACTCTCTTAATAAAATGGTAAAAAATTCGTTCTCCTTCAATTTGTATTGTTGGGAAAGGAAGAAGTCCTGTTACTTGTTCAAAGCTAATGTAACTTTTATCTTGCTGAGGTGTCAATTGATTTTAGACCCATCACTTCCAAGTCGGTGCCTTCAACATTTTCTATTACACAGACATACTTAAATGTCGTGGAGTCTCGTCTACCTCCTTTAAAGCTTACTAAAATGAAATTGCTCTGAAAATTGGCATGCCTTAATGTCAATTTCATCTTCATCATTTTCATCCAAGGAACTATCACTGGCATTTTCAGTCAAAGTCCACTTTTGTTTTTTTAATTTTTTCACCTTTATCGTTTCTATTTCTGTATTTTGTAATTTTGGACGTTTCTTTTTCAACTGCTTCTTTTCTTCGGCCTCCTTAAGTCTTTTCAAGACATCTTCTGTTGTAAGTACTTCACCATAAGTCTTTTGTTTTAATCGAACGTTTGTTGTTTTTTGTTGTACGACATCTTCCAATTCAGTTCTTTTAAAAAAGAGATTCTCAATTTCTGATCCATTTGTAGCAGAAGGTTTCTTTGAAACATTGGTATTTTGAGTTGCGTTTTGGGAATCAATCATCGGGTGTGTGTTGACTTGGGAAGTGGTCGGTTCATCAGACATATCAATTTGTTGTAGGCTGGTTTGCAACACCAAAGGTTGATTTGAAATATCAGTTGCGCTAGATTGGGATGTGGAAGATATGATCTCTTGAAAACAGGAACGTAGATATGAGACGTTAGGTGGCTGCATCTTTTCTCGTTCTTGAAGAGTACTATCAACACTATTTCCAGTAAATTCGCTTATGGAAAATTTGGTGCTGTCTACAAGAAATATTCCTGTTGTTTTAAATCCAGAAATCATATTTTCATATGTCATAGATTTTTTCCGAACAGTCCCAAGAACCTCGGAAAATTCTACCTTAGTTAACCGGCCAGAGCCAGAACCCATTTTCTTTTTGCCTAGAGAAATAAGTTCTTTTTCCCAACATGTCTTCACAGGTCCAAATACACACTTATATTTATTTATTTATTTATTTCCAACAGGTGAAACCCAATTACAGGAAACGCTGAAAAAAATAGCAATTAAAGAGACATGGTTCTTGGACTTAAATCTATAGTATCACACATTCTAAATAAAATTGGATGATCTATAACAGTTAATAATCGTTGCACAACTGTCACTGTAAATATCACACGATTCAGTAACACTGTTCATGACGCAGCACATGAAATTAATTGGCGATTTTGTCATAACATTTGTACGGCCAGCTTGACAATAGAATGCCATTTGTTGTCGACTCCCTAGCCTTGGAACGCGGAAACATATTTTTTCAAGTAAATTTTGACAGTCAATTTTGTTGTGAATGAGGCCATACAAAAACGACAAAGCAAATATGTTTCGTCTTGTTGACAGTGAATCCAAATTGAAAGACTCTAATAGGGCACTATGGTCACAACCTCTTTCTGGTTAAGAACCTGTGCATTTAAGGTGAAAATACTTTAAAGCTTTACGTTGAATGGCCTCAAGGATCACGACAGAATTTTGGTATATAGGAGACCAGATCAGAGTTGCATACTCCAACTTGCTCCTGACAAAAGTAAAAAATAAAGTTATTAATGTATCAACATTGGAGAAACCCTTCCAGTTTCTGATACAGAAACCAAGTAGTCGAGTGGCAGCCGACGAGATATTGAGTATGTGCTCAGTAAACGTTAGCTTGGTATCAAATATGACTCCAAGGTCTCTATAAGAGGTGCATCTGTCTATAACCTGACCATTGATGTTATAATTATCATAAATTAAATAGTTCACTTTTCTTGTATAAGTCATAACTTTACATTTCGAAACATTCAGACTGAGACAGTTTCGTGAACACCATGACGAAATTAGAGGTAAGTCATCTTGCAACATGACGCAATCCTCGACTGTCTTGACTGACGTGCAGATTTTGAGGTCATCAGCGAAAAACAAATGGAAACACTTCAGTTCAAAAGACAAGTCATTAATAAATATTAAAAACAATAATGGACCTAGATTTGACCCTTGAGGTACCCCAGACGTGGCCCGATAGTAACTCGACCTATGACCACCATATTCGACAAATAACCTTCTATCCCTCAAATATGAATTCATGAGCGACAGCATTGCATCAGACATACCCACTGTTTTAAGCTTATCCAGAATTCCACTTCCACATCCACTTATCTAAAGGCTGTAATCTATCTGTCAAATGGCTTGGTAGTTTGATCAAAATTATGTTGTTATTAATGGCTTCTTCTAAGATCCTCACACTCATATGGCTGGCATGCCCATCAAAAATACGTAAAGCATACTGACTCTGCGATAGTTTCTCCTCCCGTACCTTTCGAATATGAGGTATAAAAGTACTGGTGAACCAATGGAAGAATTGCGGCTCCTCCATCCATCCATTACTTGAGGTGGTATAACGGGTACCAGGGTATTCTTTTTCTGAAACCCATCTTGGCTGAACTGCGGCTCCCTTGAATACGACTAGCGGAGGTAAAACAGATCCATCGGCTCCAATGCAAGCGAGCACCGTGGTATTTTCCCTACCACTACCTCCTGATACTCTACAAAGTGGCCTACCTTTTCGGCCTATTGCACGAATGCGACTAGGGTCACTAGGAAAACCACTTTCATCTGCGTTATAAATAAAACAGGCCTTATTCGGGCTAATCAGATCTTTGCTAATTAATGGTTGTCTCAGAATTTCGTAAAAATTATAAACTATAGTCAACGCCAAACAAAGTGGCGTGCACGTCATCAAGGTGGGTGTGTTGAAAAATTTACATTGTTGCCAAACTTTTTGTAAAATAATAAAATTTATTATTTACATATCTAGGTTTATAAGCAATATTAACCTCAAATGAGAACAAAAATAATAGTATAATAAAATTATAAATCTGTACTTGCATAATCATTAAGTATGACAATTATTGATCAGATGACACTATGAAACTACCATATTTAATTGATAGCTTAAAGGTACTGAATAAAAATCCAAATGGGGTCCTCCAAATTTTATGCATGGTATTTATTTTACAGAATTCATACAGAAAAATGCATTCTAAAATTAGGTAAGCTACTGGTGTAAGCTTTTTCTGTACAATGAAGTTAGTCGGAGTTTCTTTCTTCAGCGCTGTCTGAATCTGAATCTTCATCACTCTCAAAGTTGATTATTAAAGGTTCGATGTCTGGTCGATCAAAAATTCGTTCTCTTTCATACCATTTAAAAATTTCTTGCTCAGTATGTCGAACACTATTTTTCCACATGTCTGGGGTAACCGTTTGTAGAGCCTCGTTCCACATATCCAAACAGTCTTTTTCACTGTTACCATCTCTACGAATATGTCTGTTATAGTAACCTTTTGCTATGCCCCAAATTAACTCAATAGGGTTAAATATACAATGGTAAGGAGGCAGACGAAGAACTTTGTGCCCATGTTGTTCCGCCATTTCATCAATCACGTATATTTTAGGTGGTTTGTTTCTAAAAAAGCAGTTATTTTAAGAATAGGAATAAACAAAAGAAATATAAACTGTCGACCAAAATATATATAATTAAGAAGCATTATGTACCGAGCAACAATACTCAATAGCTCTGTTTTAAACATTGTGTTTAAAAATGGTATGTTTTGATTTGTCAACCAGTCTTGGATATTTTTTTTTGTCCATGCATTGTTGGGCACTTTGTTCAATATCATGCTGTGATAAGGGGCGTTATCCAGTATAATCATAGATGGACTCTCCAATTTTTCTAATAACTGATGTTGAAACCATTTCAAAAAATTGTCCTGGTTCATCTCTCCATGGTAATCGCTCAATTTTGTTTTCGAAGAAAATATCGCTTCACTACCCTCAATAAACCCATTTTCATTTCCAGCATGTAATATAATGTATCTAAAATATATAAGTTTTAAATTTTATAGTGCAAATTGTGTAAAAGTACATACCTTTTACCATCTGTTTTAATAGCTTTCACGCTTTTTTGGTTTCCATTTTGCCAAGAGCGACCTATGGTCCCATTTTGAAATATCCAAGTTTCATCGAGGAAGACAAACTGATATAAGGCCTCAACCTTGGCTTGATTGTATTGCCTTAGAAATTCCACCCTTTTCAAAGCTATACTTGGTAGTTCCATGAGCCCTCGTCGCGGATTGTCCTTAAGCCACTTAAATCCAAGATCTCTAAGCAACCGCCTTAAAGACGTGGCACTACCATCAAATAATGCCCTATCTCTTAATCGAGACCATAAAGTTTGTATCGTAACTTGTTCTTCTGAAACCATGTATAATATGACATTATAATTTAGTTAACAAATTAATGCAAATTTCTGATAAGTTATTATAATAAGATCTTACTTTTGTGATACATATTATAGATCACTTCTCGAATGGCACTTGTATCCAATGTCGCTGTGTTGGTTATACGTTTAATATAACTCCGCTTTTTCTTGGGCGATTCTAAATTTGCATCACTTTTCACACCCTCGGAAATACGACTAACTGTCCTTAAACTAATTTTTAAAGCAGCAGCAACACGCTACAAAAAATGAAATAAAATTTCACTATTATTAATATACATTACATATAATTATTAGTAACCTACCTCTTGAACAGCATTTAAAGGCAACAAAGGCCCGTTGTTGTCCCTTTCTTGCTCAAAGTAGTGCATTAACGAGGCCACGAGTTCCTTACACCGACTATTTAACTGTTTGGGCATCTTTATATACCAAAATTGCCTTTATCTACTGGTAAAATGAATAATTTTTGTTTTGAAACAAACAGTTGTTGATTTACAGTATGCGGGGCCAAAGGATTTATAAAGATTTGAAATGCCACAAATTGATTCAGTGTCAAAATTAATACAAATGTCAGTTCCCAGTTTAAATAAGTTTCAAGGTGACAATGTGTTAACGCTGCGAAATCGGTTTAGTGCGTTTACATGTCGATAAGTGATTGGAGCGTTTGCAAAACATTTTATTTCGCATAATGCGTCTAAATTTATCAGAAAGCAACTTATGTGATATTTTAATAACAATGTTTATATGACTATTAACCATAATAAGAGAGTAATGACCATTTTACAATTTATATATCACATTAATATGAAACTGCAATAGAGCAATTGTTTGTGATAGAAACCTAGGCATTAGGTCGGGGAATTTTTATCGTGATGACGTGCACGCCACTTTGTTTGGCGTTGACTATACATCGGGTTTTCGTGCGTCTTTACGTAATTTTTGTAACAGTTCAGGCTTTTTAACTGAAAGGGCGGGATGCATTTTCAGAAAATCATAATACCAATCGTCTCCGGGTCTATTGTTTTTATAATAAGTTTGTAATTCTTTGCTCTCGACATAAGTTTTGACTAGGTCCTGCAGCTCATTTTTACCGCAGGGATAACCGTATTCCGCTCGAGCAAGGATACATTTCTCTATAGTATTCTCAACTTGTGCTGATAGGACAATGGGGGTTCTTCTTTTTCCAGTAAGTCTTTGACAGATAACAGATTTAGGAACACCATAGAACTCTTCAGCTGCTCTATAGGTTTTATTTTTGTTTGCGACATCCTCGACAGCTCTTCTAATATCTTCAGATGTATACGTATATGAAGGCCCTGCAGATTTTTTTACATAGTTTCTAGGCATCTGAAAACGAAATTAGGTACTTTAAACATTGTTGTAAGTTATTTGTGTAACTTTAGCATAAAAATAAACATGTTTACATTTTCCCTAGCAAATTCGAATCAGGGGTAAATGTTAACATCGTTAAAAACTAGGCGTTAATGACGGAAAAAAGGGTATAATTATAAAAATATATGTTTAAGAAGCCATAATGATCCAAATGCAAAACTACTTACCTTTTAGAAAGCAAACTAAGGCATAATATCTCTAGATATTTCACTTTGTAAACACAACAAAATGCACGTGCTTCTATGACCGCTTGTTTGTAACTGAAATTTCAGTCGCATGCGGAATTGCTTGGCGGCAATGCCTTCCGGTGAAATTTGGCATCATAGTAGAAGAGGAATATAGCGTCGGGCGCGAAGTTTAAACATGAATATATTAAAAGCGTTTACTTTTACCCCCATTTACATTTACCCCAGTTGACCCTATATAATCAAAATCCTACTTACCCGAAGGTGTAAGGTGTATAAAATAGTATAATATAAATCTACTTCATTTAATAAGCAAAGTCTATGCTACTCAGAAAACATCATAAAAAGACCTGCGACAAAGAATTGCGAATGAGTGCCTTCAAATTATTCCTCAAATATTGCAAAATGTGCGGCAATGTTTTGAGCAAAATCTTTATTATTGCATGGAGAGTCATGGTGGCCATTTTTAACATTTACTTGCGTAACGGGTCAGTTCATTCTTCATTTTTAAATTACTTTGCTGCCAAATGTATTGATCTCCACTAATGATGATGTATTAGTTTTCCTGATCAGTCGCCGTGCACTGTGCGGGTTCGAGTCCCGTCCCAGGAGAAATTTTTCTCTTGGCTATGGATGTTGTGATTGTCCGTAGGTGGTAGACGGTCTCTGACTGTCGAACGCGGAGGTACCACCCGGCGGATCTCGTAGGCGGAGCCAGAATGTGTGCATGTTGCATGCACACGTGTTCCCTCGCCAGAGTCCGTGTGGCGTTCCCCCTTTCCCATGTATCCCCCTATAGCCCCACGGTACCCGATGGGTGCTTAGGCCTTGGGCCTTCGTGGTAGTTGGAGTATAAAAAAAAATCAATAAATCTTCAAAACTACTGAACTGAAGTACATTGATTTTATATCATTGTAAAGGGAATTGAAAGACCTTTAAAATAAGGTATCACTCGACCCCCCTTTCCATTTAAGATTTTGGGGGTGGTGTCACCCCCGCTTGACTTGCGTCTGTTTCGTTTTGGATGCGCCACCCTGTATAACGCGTTCCCTGAAGCTCCAACTAGTCCGTGTAAGAAATGTAAGAACTGAGTACTTATCAGCAAAGGCTTTTTAGTCGCTTGCTGAATGTCTCACTGATGATAGAAACAGCCTGAGTGTTCAGGAACAACGAAAAGTAGTAATGTAGTCTATTGTTTTTTGCTGTTGTTGTTTTTTGTCTTAGCTGGTTATCTTTTTTGACTTATACGAGTAGCCTTAAAAACGATTGCATTGAAAATAATTTGTAAAAATTGTCATCACCTTCATTTTTAGCAATGTTCTAAGCTTATTTTATTGTAACTATAACTTGTAACTGTTACTTTTGGAACAAATAAAAACTATTTATCTATGTGAAAGCAAGTAAGTATGTCAAAAAATGTAAATTCATCTACAGGGTGTTTCAGTTTGTTGTTGCATAACTTTAAGATTCGATAGAACTTTTAAAATTAATGCATAAAGTCTATATATATATAGACATGGGTCGAAAAATGCGTGGCTTCCGAAATACTTTCTAAAATAGTTTTTTTTAAATATTTCGTACAATATTTGATGTATAACAGTGAAAATTGGTATACAAGGGTTTTTTTGGTACGACAAAACGAACCATGGACGTAGTTTTCCTGTAGCCGCTAGAGGGCGCTCTCTACTGTACCTGTAGTGTATTAAAATGACCGAAAAAATTTTCTTAGTGCAATTTTTGCCTTTTTGAATAAAAAAACTGATTCTTCGCACTTTTCAACATAAAAAAGCTCTCTTGTGAATTTTCGTTATAATTAGCCGTTTTTGAGATATTTCGATTTTTAAGGTTCGATACATTTTTAATTATTTATGATAAAGTAACGTTAAAAAGTCAGTATCTCGATAATTTTTAGAAGTAGGCTGTGCCTGCAAATATTTTTGAAATTGAAAGCAGAATAAGGTTAAACGTCAATTGGTTGACAGTTAGTTTTGTGGTCTGTTGAAACCTGAAAGGTTTTTTTTGCAATTGTGAATGCACGAAATTTAGTTTCTTTTACCTTTTTTTTTTTGTAAGTTTTATAAAAATGCCATTTTTATTCTCCAATCAAGAGTTAGCGGATATTCATTTTGTGTATGGCTTTGTAAATGGAAACGCAGCAGAAGCAGCCAGAGAATACGCACGAAGATTTCCAAACAGACGACATCCAACTCGCTCAGTATTTGTAAGAGTGCATCGCCAAATAACTGAAAATGTTTTTGAAAATCTCCAAAGGGATCAAAACATAAACGTTCTTCAGCGCAGATTTACCCGTATGATTCTGCGTGAGTTTGATAGAGATCCGACCACAAGTGTTAGGAGTGTTTCTGGTGCCTTGGGAATTTCAGCAAGCCATGTTCACCGTGTTCTTAGAAATGACCATAGACTTCCTTACCATTTGCAACCTGTGCTTGGACTACAGCCAGGGGACGGAGAACGAAGAATCACATTTTGTCAGTGGATTCTTGATAGAACTGATAATAATAGGGAGTTTTTAAGTAACGTTTTATGGACCGATGAGTCATGTTTCACTAGACGTGGAGTTTTCATATACAACATATTTGGTCGCATGAAAATCCGCATGCAGTTCGGGAAAAAAATTTTCAGCATGAATTTAGTGCGAATGTATGGATTGGTATCTACCGTAATCGACTATTTGGATCCTACCTTTTGCCTGCAAGGTTAAATGCTGCGACCTTCTTGGAATTTTTAAAGGCTGAACATGCAAATATGTGGGATGATGTTATGTTAGATTTAAGAAGATTGGCCTGGTTCCAGCTTGATGGTTGTCCAGCTCATTATTCGAGAATAGTTAGAAACTGGCTGGACGAAAGATATCCAGAAAGATGGATCGGCCGTGGAGGACCAGTCGCCTGGCCTCCACGATCCCCTGACCTAAATCCATTAGATTTCTTTGTGTGGGGATTTCTAAACGAAAAAGTGTACCAGACTCCCGTAACCACAAGAGATATGCTAATAGACAGAATCAGGAATGCATGTGATAAAATAAGGCCTTATTTGAATAATGCTATACCACGTTCGATCATTCGTAGATGTGAATTGTGTATTGAACAATTGGGTTTACATTTCGAGCAACTACTTTAGATTTTGTATAATTGTCCTAACTATCCAATAGCATCCAATATTCATTTAATTTGTTAAAAATAGTATTGGAAAATTATACAAATTAATATTCTGTTTTTTTGTGTTTATTTGGAGTTAGGAATTATTGCTGTGTTTAAAAACACAATCTAAACGATCATCTTAATTACTTGTAATGCCCAAATCGAAAATGTCAAAAAGTATTATTTTCTCATAAATAATTAAAAATGCATCGAACCTTAAAAATCAAAATATCTCAATAACGGCTAACTATAACGAAAACTCACAGGTGAGCTTTTTTATGCAGAAAAGTGCGAAGAATCAGTTTTTTTTTTGTTTAATTCGGTCATTTTAATACACTACAGGTACAGTAGAGAGCGCCCTCTAGCGGCTACAGTAAAACTATGCCCATGGTTCGTTTTGTCGTACCAAAAAACCTTTGTATACAAATTTTCACTGTTATACATCAAATATTGTACGAAATATTCAAAAAAAACTATTTTAGAAAGTAAATTTAAACACCCTGTATTTCGGAAGCCACGCATTTTTCGACCCATGCTTATATAGACTTTATCCATCAATTTTAAAAGTTCAATCGAATCTTAAAGTTATGCAACAATAAACTGAAACACCCTGTACAATACGCAATCCACAAATTTCGGTTTTCTATGTTCAATAATAAAAAAGTTATGACCCGGTTTTATTCGTATAAAGAAATTCAATGCAGTCAGTCTCATCACTTAATTTACAGACCTCGTATGCTATAACCTTCTAAAACGACGCCACTGTTCGTTCGAGTATCTTCGGGAAATTGCCTGCTGGAATTTGGCTAAAAACTTCACACCGATTGTAATACTATTTAGACAATTGACGTAATAACTGTTTGATATTTATGGTTTATGTGTTTCTATTTGGGCTATTAGGTAGTTGAGCTTCAATTTTATGTCAAGACAGTGTCTTCATTGGGCAACGAAAAACATAAAAATTTATCACTCGACAAATAAGAACATCGACGAGAATCCCGTCGAACCAATATGAATCCTACAAACAAATTTGAATTTGACTACACACAAACAAGTAGAATTCGTAGAAAAATAAAGACTAAACTCTCAAAGTTTAAACAAAGAATCCAGAATGAAATAGATGATTGTCGCGGTAAAGAGTTCGGGGAAGATAATGCATCTCAAAAATCGTTAGAGAAGAAAAGACGCAACTCTATTGGATCTATAAATAGTGCCAGCAGCGATGACAAGGGAGTCTTCATTGCTACAGGAGAGATTAGGTGAGCTTTATGAAATCAATGAGAAATTTTAATCAACAAGACGTAAGGGATCCATATTTAAATATACTAAGTGACATATAAATCCGGACACCCAGTTTAAATGGTTTTATTTTAATAAAAGTTGGTGAATGTATTTATCTTACTGTAAATAACAAGCGAAAAAACTTTCAGCTTTATCAGTTGGACATTCCGGTTTTTATACTGCTTTTTTTTAATTCACTAACGCTCTAAAAATGAATATTTCAGCCGCAGTAAAGAATCAACGTTGGCGGATTTTGGTTCTTGACATTCTTTACGATCGGTTACGATGCCTAGAGTACGGAGACCTGTACGATTTCGTCAACTTTGTGAGTTTGATAGGGGCCGTATAGTGGGACTTCGGGAAGCTGGACTTTTTTTTCGGGCAATTGCAGTTAGAGTGCAAAGAAGTGTAGACACTGTGGTTATGTGTTGTAAGGCATGGCTTCGAGAAGGCCGTATGCAAAGAGCAAGGGGCACTGGACGCCGCCGTAGAACAACAGACCGTGAAGATCGCCGCCTAAGATTATTGGCCTTAAGGGACCGTTTCTCCACTACCAGGTCCATTGCAAATGAATGGTTTGCAGAACACGGAAGACCTATTGGCATGCGAAGTGTTTACCGACGAATGAGAAGTTTTGGCTTGATTTCATACCGGCCACACTGGGTCCTCCCTTTAACTCGAGAACACCGACGTAATCGCCTTGAGTGGTGCAGACAACGGTCACTCTGGGATCAGGAATGGAACAATATTGTCTTTAGTGACGAGTCTCGATTTTGTTTAGGCATGCACGATGGTCGTGCCAGGGTTAGAAGGCGACGTGGTGAAAGGAGGAATCCACAGTTTTTTGTTGAAAGACATGTTCATCACCCTGTTGGAGTTATGGTTTGGGGTGCTATAGCTTATGGTTCCAGGTCACCTTTAATCTTCATCAGAGGTAACATGAACGCGCAGCGTTATATCCACGAAGTTGTAGAACCCCATCTTTTACCCTATCTTGACACCCTGGCAGATCCAACTTTCCAACAAGATAATGCCCGACCACATGTTGCAAGACTTACAATAGACTTCTTTCAACATAATGATGTCACATTGTTACCATGGCCACCAAGATCTCCCGACTTATCCCCAATTGAGCACGTGTGGGATATGATGGGTAGGAGATTGCTCAATTTGCAACGTCCTCCTCAGACTCTAGAAGCACTTCGAGAGGAGTTGGTGGTTGCCTGGAATGAGATACCACAGGAGGACATTGACCACCTGATCAGAAGCATGCCTAGGCGCGTTGGAGAATACGTAGCACATCAGGGTGCATCCACACATTATTAAATGTCAAAGGGCTTTAAAGCAGTGCAATCATTTTGAAATTTATATCATTTACTTATTATGCTTCATTAAGTACTTATACAAAATTTTATTAAAATAAAACCATTTAAACTCGGTGTTCGGATTTATATGTTACTTAGTATATGTTACCGTTTTTAAAGATAACAACACACAAGCGCCGGATATGGGTCCCTATACTCAAATGTTTCCTACTGTTACACTGAATAACTCCTACAAGTTTGATCCCATAATTCTGAAACACCCTGTATACTGAAGAAATGTTATAACATGCTCCAGTTAGGAAATGTTTCGTTTAATTGTAAATTTCATTTACTTACTAAGTAATTAATATTTTGTAGTTTTGTTCGTATATTTGATAAATGTTAGCTGAAATGTAAAACAGTATGTAAAATTGCCTCTTTTTATTTTCAAAGTTGTTTGTAATGAACATACAAAATGATATGTCCTTGATTTTATGTGCTTGCTTTGTTCTGGCGTTCCAATCATTGTCAACTTAATATATAGGGTGGCCCAACGAAAAGGTCGCACCTACATTTCTGACTCTCTATATTTTGCGGAAGACGGTCGGACACGTCAACTTTTATTTATAGGAGGACGTCTTTTCATTTATAGATGTACAATACAGGGTGATCAAATAATAAGATATTGCGTTTCACGTTAGATTTTTAAACGAAAACCCAGTTTTTTAATTTATAGATTTTCCATGAAGTTCTTAGTAACGTATACCTATCTTCAATCGTTGTGGAGCTAATTTATTGAGTCTATAATAAAATTCTACTAACTAATAATGTACGGCAAAAAACAATAATCATGGATACCAGCAAAAACATTAAGCGACAGTCAGTATCATCGTATGTCATAGAACAACATTGCCTGTCATTTCAAGTTATTATTATTAATAATAATAAGTGGCCTTTATTTTACCTGTCGCGTTACATCAGCAAAAGCTGTTTTTCGGAACCAACCAGGGCTAAAAGAATACAAGTTCATGTAAATAATGGGTGATTTTTTTGCTAGTATCTTTTTGGCAACACTGTTTTTGACAGATGACGCGTGAATCGTGTCTTGTGTCATTGTCAAACTTGTTCAGTTTGGTCTACAATTTAACCATGAATCGACTTACGAACGAACAACGCTTGCAAATTATTGAATTTTACTATCAAAATTCATGCTCGGTTAAGACAGTGCATCGAGCACTGCTTCCAATTTATGGGCAATTTGGTCGGCCTACTGAGGGAGCTATTCGGAAGCTTGTGACTAAATTTCGAACCCAGTTTACATTATTGGACATTAAACCACCAACACGCAGACGTAGAGTGAGGACTGAAGAAAGTATTGCGGCTGTATCCGCCAGTGTTAGTGATGATCGTGAAAGTCGATTCGCCGCCGTTCGCAGCACTACGTGGAAAATTTTGCGACAGGATTTGGGTGTAAAACCTTATAAGATACAGCTGGTGCAAGAATTGAAGCCACGCGACCTCATACAACGTTTCCAATTTGGTGAATGGGCGCTGGCAAAGTTGGAGGAAGATCCACATTTTTATCGAAAAATTGTGTTCAGCGACGAGGCTCATTTCTGGTTGAATGGGTAAGTTAACAAGCAAAATTGCCGCATCTGGAGTGAAGACCAGCCAGAAGCATTGCAAGTGCTACCAATGTATCCCGAAAAAATCACTGTTTGGTGTGGATTATGGGCCGGTGGCATCATCGGGCCGTATTTCTTCAAAGACGACAACTGTGAATGGCGAGCGCTACCGTGCGATGATAACAAACTTTTTTGTGCCCAAAATGGAAGAGCTGGACTTGGCTGACATGTGGTTTCAACAAGACGGTGCCACATGCCACACCGCACACGAAACAATGGCCCTATTGAGAGGCGAGTTCGGTGAACAGTTTATCTCTCGTTTGGGGCCCGTCAATTGGTCGCCTAGATCGTGTGATTTAACGCCGTTGGACTATTCCTTGTGGGGCCATGTTAAGGCTAATGTTTACAGGGATAAGCCAGCAACGATTGACGCACTGGAAGCCAATATTGAAGCATTTATTCGTGAGATACCGGCCGATATGTTGGAGAGAGTGTGCCAAAATTGGACCTTGCGCATGGGCCATCTAAAGCGGAGCCGGGGCCAACATTTACATGAAAACATTAAATTATATCGACCGTTCTATCGACTCAAATAAAGACTTAATCGTTTTTTCAAATTTTTTGTGTTGTTTTTTTTTTAAATCAAATCCTATACCTCTAGTGATTTCAAATATGTATTTTTTACGACTAGAGTGTATCTGATATGTTTTTGAGAAAATAAATTGTTTTAGAAGTAAATAGTTTCGTCATGTTTAGTTTATATAGGCATATTTTGGTACAAATCTTGAAGTGGGCCAACTGAATTGGGAAGGGGCTCGTATGTCTGTGTCAGCTTTTAAAAGAAGCTACAGAAAATTTCTATTAAATGAATTGTAGTATTTACCTTATATTGTTCCTTTCCTTTTTATATTTTAAGTGTTTTCTTATTAAATCCGCCGAAAATGATTTGACCATTTTCATTAAATTATATTTTTTATATAATTTCTTTATATACAAATATTTTTTTGACGCTTGCAGTTATTATTTATTGATAATTAACATTAACTTATAGAATTTGGTTGGGAACTATATTGGTTATTAGTTTTACGATATAATTAATTCCTTATTATCACAATTTCTAGAATTATATCATAAGCTCAAATGGCTTCACAACAATTGAAGATATGTATAATCTTCATTATTTATTTATTTATTTATATACAGTTTGGGGTGTTAACAGGTAAACCCAACACACACCCTCAGTGAACTAAAACTAAACTTACATAAAATATCGTATACATATACAGTATATTCAGATAAGAGATAGACCGGACATAAACAAGACCACGTGATCATCGAACGCTGTAACATTCGGCAGGGACGTATTAAGAGTCACGCAGTACATATTTTAGATAGTAGATGCTGCTTTGCGTAACTTTGTAGTAAATTAGCACAATTCGAAGTGTATACGATTGGTGATGGATATAGGATGATGTGGGGGTGGGGTAAGAAATATATAATGATGTAAATGTACATAAGGGTTTCAAAATTTTCGCTTCGATTTCCAGCTTCGGATGCCGCCTGATGTTTGGTGAAATACAGTCGAATATAATCTCAAAATGGCGTTTAAATTAGCCTAAATTAAAAATAATCGTATATCTCTTAAAATTGCTTTTAGAATATTGATTAGTATATTTTTTGATTTCTAGGTAAATATGTAACCAAATTAAAACGTTCGAAACGTAAAAAAATGTGCATGGTTGAACATTGTCAGAAAGTAGATTCTTGAATAGGTTTTGCCAAAATGGGTTCAAAAATGTCAATAATTAATTAAAAAATACAGTAGCTTTATAATTACTTATAACTTACCGAATTTGATGAACGACATCTTTTATTGGAAAGATGAGCTTGATGAGCTTTCATCATCGCTACTGCCTGAAGCACCAACGTCAATAATGAATGGCTCGACTTGTTCCTCTAAAATATTGTCCAGTTCCCACATTCTCTTTTCAACTTTGTCTTTCACGTGCTTAATACAGTTTTCTCATTTTTGCGCTGTTATTAATTCTA